GAAGGGGAGGGAAGAGAAGGGGAGGGAGGGGAAGGGAGGTCCCTGGGACCCTTGTGCTCTCTTCTGCCCTGAAGACCACAGCCAGCATGAGGAAACCACATCTTCTAATTTAAGTAAGCACAAAAACCCAGGGCCTGAGCCCCTAAGAGGCCCAAACTTCTCAGACTATAGGTGTCAATAGAGAAACCCAACTCTCTGGATATTGAAGCCTTTCCAGAATTCTTTGTTCTTCTGAAAGGGAACATGTCTGATGAAGTACAGAATCCCTTCCCGAAATGATATTATATATTTAATGATCTTTCTCTCCCACTAGAATTAAGTACCATGAGAATAAAGATTCTATTTGATCACAGATATACCTCCAGGACCTAGAATAGTGCAAAGCACATACTAGGAGCTCAAAAAACAAAGGGTAGGTGCAGAAGGAGGGGAGGCAAAGGGGGGAGGGAATGCAGGAAGAAGGAAGGATAGCCAAAGGGCTGACCAAGCAGGCGGGTGAAAGTAGATACATGTGAGCGGAAATTTGAACTCTCAAAGCATCTGTACCTTCCAGATCATGAAGGCTGCAGGCTCACCATAATCCTATTGGGTTAATACTTCAATCCCAAACTGCAACTTCTCTGAACTAGTTTTTCACACTTGGAGAAAAGGATATGCCATTCGGCCTTTGCACTTCTACCTGGTTTAGGTAACCAATCTAATCACTGGATTCTTGCCACTCTAGAAACTAACACTAGTGACTATGAAACCCAATGTTCACAGGACTGGGAGCTGCCAAATGTAAGATGGTGGTATCCTCTTTACTTGGCTTTAATTTGTATGATTATTAATATGGTCAAACATGGTAAAATGCTATTAGTGGTTCTACAGATCCATAGTTCTGTAGAGTTTTACCGAGCTGTTTTTTGTGTTTAGCTCTTTACACATATTAAATGACAATCCATACAATTGCCCCATGGGACTTTCGTCTCTACAAAGAAAGAGTGCTATGGAAACGGCAGACTAAGAAGACAAAGAAGGGATCACACCACAGGCATTTGAGAACATGGTGAATCTGGTGGTAAACCTAATAGTCTCAATGTTAACCTAATTTTTATATTTAGCAATGGCCAAGGACCAGGAACATTTAAAAGATGATACCAGGTTTGGTCCTCTGGGAAACTTCTGAATCAGCAAATACCTTGGAGATCACCTGTGTTGAAGATTGTTCTCTGTAAGCTCATTCTAAACTTCCTGTGAAAAACTATTAGATTATATCTTCTTACATCCCCAAGGCCAAATACATTGCTTGACGCAAAAATAGACACTTCATAAGTGTCTGAGATACTCAAATTATTGCAGACCTTAATAAGAGGTTGGCCATCATCCCCATTAAAGTTTACTTAGAGGTCATAGTCAAGCTCTCCTTATAAGCCTCAACCCCCAAATTTGTTTGTTTGGCTTTTTAACTTGGTCAGAATATTATCCACAGATTAGTAAACAAGTGAAGAGTCCAATCAGGTATATGCCCATGTGGAAGCTAACAAAGAAAGTCACATAGTTCTAGTTCACAGATGTCCCAATAGCACACCCAGGCTTGTTGGTGGTTGTGAAACCACGCCTGGCAGGTACTCCATGGCAGCTTTTCATACAATGCCATCAGCATCACACAGGTTAGAGCATTGATGTTAAATGCCAGGCACACTCAATTATCCATACTCTCCAATGCTAGTAGAAGAAAGCTGTGCTAGTGATAATTGTGACAGTGTTTAAATGGTCTGAAATTTGTCATTATATTTTGACTGTTGAATATGTTTGTTCTCATTTATGAAAGCTGGCGCACTCATTGTTTCCCTCATAATATTACTCAAGAGTTCAGGTTGGCTCTGTTTTATAGATGAGAAAAGAGTTAGGCTAAATACCTTGCCCAAATTCACATAGCTAGTGAATATTGAAATTAGGATTAAAACTGATAACTGCCTGTGCAGATGCAAAAAAGAAAAATATCAAATACTAGATTCCTAAGATACAAACTAGAAATAACAAAGAAAACTGATGTCCCAGTTGGCTCAAATTGCCAAGATTCCTGGGTCCCAGAGGAAACTGGATAAAAATATGATGACTGTTAATCATTTTTATTTTATGTCATCTCCAATAATAAATGACCCATTAACTAGGCCAGGAGGAACACATCCAGGTGTGAGAAATGGCACTTCTGTTTATGGCCCTGAATATGCTATGCCAAGCACCTGTTTGCTGAGGGTGAAAGAACACAGATCTCTGTAATATGACTTAGTCAATGATGTGTGGAAATGGCAAGCAGAGGAGCCAGAGATTCCCCAGTTTTCAAGAGACACCTGTGTGCTAAAGCCCAGATGGGCTGTGCATATCTGCAGAGTAGGCAGCCACCTGGGCAGACAGAAAAGGCACTGGCCCTTAGGCATGGCTTCAAATGGTAGGTATCTGTAGACACTGCTAACCACTGGGACAGAGTTTTCAATTCATAAAGTATTTTAATCTTCAAAGATAACGAGATTGTTTATCTAGAGGTGGCCTGTACAGGAATATAATATTCAAAGGGGTTGTACCTTCAAAAGAACTTCACATTTAAGCATAAGGATAGACACTTAATTTTGATGCCAGGAAAGAAGAGGTTAATGGAAAAATGCACATTCGCCTTAAAGCTGGTTCTTAAAATGATGCATAAAATTGCTGCCTCCCAGAAATACAGGAACCAATGGGAATTCAGAATAATCAAAATAATTGTGAGATTGCCTATAACTTCTAAATTTCCCCGGGCCTCTCTGTCAGCATAATATGCTTTTGAAAATGCTTCCGTTTCCAATGTGCCATTGAGTATTGGCATTTCTGTTATTATAATTCAGGAAAAATGAAGTAAACAATTTGAGAAAAAGTTCAGCATAATGTGTATGCCTAGGAGAGTGAACAGAATCAATTTATCCCACCAACAGACATTTAAGGCAGCAGCAGAATGTGGTCACCCACAGGAACACACAGGATTTAGAGCTGAGGCCCATGTATGACATGTAATTGTGTGACCTGAAATAAGTCACTGAACCTATGAGCCAAAGAATCCCCCAAATTCTGTGTAATTTTCACATGTGTAAAAGTTAATGCTAGTTATTGAGTGCACAGATTACGCAAAGCCTGTAGTAACCATGAGTAAAATAAGACCTAGTTTCTGTCTTAGAGATGCTTTCTAGTTAAGCAAAGTTAAAAAGCTATAATGTTAAAAAATACCCCAAAAGTGCTACAGGAATTCAGAAACAGATCAATTTTAATGTGGGAAGTTGAAATTGAGCATTCCAGGGAGAAGGTTTAGTTAAGAAAAGGCAGAAGTTCTAAAATCACTTTTAAGCAGGGACACGATCCAGTAAAGCCGTGTCTAGAAATATTAATATGGATACTGTATAGGATAGACTGGAAAAAAGAAGCAAAAAAAGATAATTGAGGAAACCATGGCAATAGTCCAGTTAAAAGGTAATGAGAGTGCTACATGTTCATGGGAGTAGACTGGAAAGCTATACACCAGTGCAGAATTGACCTGCTGCAATAATTGACTGGAAAGCAAAGAACAAAGGAGGAAACAAGTAATCAAGTATGGGCTCAGAGCCTAGGTGATGGGAAGAACCGGGGTGACAGAGGCAGAAATGTCCAGAGGAAACATCAGCTTCAGGAGAAGGTAAGTTTGGTTTTAGGAATGCCGATTTGAGGAAAAGAAATCGCTACTTGTCTTTGAAAGAACAATTTAAGGGAATGCTTTTAAGGAAAGTGGGGGAAATAAAAGACATTGCAGGAGTTAAAAGAGCGAGGAGGTAGTGAGGTACATACCGACCAGTGGAAGCTAGTCTCCAAAGATGGCCCCAGTGAGCCACACCCTCAGGCATTCATACCCTTGAGTAGACCCCTGGCCCTGACTTGTAACTGATGGGAGTCACACAGAGTCACTTACTGCGTTGAAGTCTGCCTCAGAAGAATCTCTGTAGTTTCTGCCTTGGTCTATTGGAATACGTACTTGGTCTTAGTGCCTTGATTTACCACATAAGAAGTCCACGTGCCCTGTGGCTGCTATGCTGTGAGGAAGCCCAAGCTAGCCATGTGGAGAGGTCACATGGAAAGAGAGAGGTCCGACCAGCCCCAACTGTTCTAGCTACCCCAGCCCAGGAGCCAGGCATCTGAGTGAATAAAAATTCAGATGACTCTAGTCTCAACTACCATCTAAACAAAGCCTGTCAACTCCCAGAACCAGGAGAGATAATTTTAAAAAGTGTTGTTCTAAGCTGCAAGGTTTGGGGGTGATTTGTTACTTAGAAATAGGTAGGACACTGTTCTTTGGTCAAGGAGACAAATTAAGGCAGATATAGACAGACTGCTTTTCATTTTTAAATTTCATTTTGTTAGATTTTCCCTATTTTTATTTTTTTATTTTTAATCCTCACCCAAGGGTTTCCATTGCTTTTTCAGAGAGTGGAAAGGGGGAGAGAGGGAGAGAGAGAAACATTGATTGGTTGCCTCCCACACGTGCCCCAACTGGAGCTGGGGATCAAACCTGTAACCGAGGTACATGGGCTGGACTGGAATCAAGCCCGAGACCCTTCAGTCTGTGGGCAGACACTCCAGCCACTGAGCCAAACCAGCCAGAGCCAGACTTTGCTTTTTTTTCTCAAAATCCAATCACTAGTACCTGAGGAAAGATCTTTTTTATTTTAGTTTTTCAATGGGTGAATAATAGTTCTGTGGAAGAATATTTTATTCTTTCGACAAGAAGGAAAAAATGGATGAATGAAAAAAATTTATAACATAAGGTGAAGAAAGAAGTTTTACTCAGTGGTCTTGATCTTATCAGCTAGGTCTTATTTATTGAAAAGAAGGGTTTTCAGTAAGGCAGGATTAGAATCTGAGGAATGATTTTACTTCTGTTTTAAAAATAAAACAAAGCAAAGTTTAAGAATCAAGAACTGAGAAGCAATGAAATTCCAGAGGAAGTTGGAAAGTATAAATTCATGCCTAATTAATATGGATTTATGGTGAACCTATCAAGAGCTTTATGGTTGCATGACTTCCTACTGAAATGTGTAGAAACAGAAGCATTCCTGAGGATAAACAAGAGGCATAAGAGAGTCTAGAGAGAGTAAGGACTTCTAGGACCTCACTTGATCTGAGAGAGGCAAATGAAGCCTATAAAGCACGGAGAGAGGACATTTTCATTGCTGAGTGAAAGACAGAATAAAATACAGAATACACAAGGGATAGGAGAAAAAGAAAATCCAAGTCCTCACTAGATTTATATTCTAAGACAATTGGGAGTGGGGTTTCAGGAATAATGTAGAGAAAGAGTGGGGTTGGGGGAAGCAGAATGATTATGTTTCTTTCTAGTCAATCTGGTCTTTAAAGAATATTAATGGTAAACATTTTAGGAGCCACTCAATATCTCGAAAGAAATTCTACATTTTTCTGGCCATTGTCCATGAAGATCAAGCTTTCCCAGATGACTTCACAAATTTTGCTCACAGGAAAATATGCTCTGCTTGACCTAAAGCAAGCCTCCTCTCAACTGCCAGAAGGTAGAATGGTTGTCACCTGTGATCTGATGCTAGTCATGTGAGATGAGAGTTTGCAATGTATAGATTTACAGACTCAGTGAAGAAAGATGTCATAAAATTTCTTTTTTGTGCTGGCTGGTTAAAGAGGTGCCAGAAGACATGAGGGAGAAAAAGTTCTCTCCTCTCAGTAAAGCTGTTTGTGTCCACATTCATTCAGAAAGAATCAAGAAGTATCTGGGCCACCCTTAGAGAGTGCTCCCAACACAAAGTCATTCTTCGAGAGAGACACACTGCTCATGTAGCTAACAACTCCACTCTTCCAACCTACTAACTCATGGCATCACCAGGCAGAACCACAAGAAATATGGACCGGAATTCTAATAAAACTAAAAGCCCTTGTAAGGCTACATTCAGATGATGGCCATGTGACCCTAACAGAGACCCCTGAGGTCAGACCTGATCTAATCAATCTGAAGAACTATAGCCTCCATCAGCAAATACCTTGAGTCACCAAGCTGGTTTATTTTTCTTTCTCACCTAATTCCACATTCTAAGTCCCCAAGGAGGGCTTGAGGTTGTTTATAACCTTAGCTCAGGTCACCTGCTCAACATGGGTCGGATGGTCATCCACTTCCAGCTGCAAGTCACTCTTGTCTTTCTCCAGTTTCTGTTTGGCTTGTTGTAGATTTTCTACCTGGCCCTTGAGTTCAGCCAGGCTGTATGCATGTCTCTTCTTCAAAGAGGCAGAAGTTTCCTAAAAGTGCAGTGTGACCTCTTCCATATCTCTGAGAAGCTTCTGTAATTTTGCTTCCTGTTTCTTAGTTTTCTCCAGCTGAGCCAAACTGACCCCTCCTGCCTCCCTCAGCCTCACATTCCAGTCTTCCAGTTCTTGGGTGGGGTTGGCTCTCTCCCTCTCCACCTTGGCTCTAGTGGTCCTTTCAGCCTCCAGTTCCTCCTTTAAATGCTGTATTTGAGTCTGTAGCAATACATAATTTTGACATTTACTAAGACCTTGTCGCATATTTTACATTCAAGAGCTTTATTATATATATGTATTTTTAATTACCCCCAACTAAGAAAAGTAACATAACACTTTTGGTTAAAAAAATAGAATACTCAGAAACTAACTGATTTGCTCCAAATAAGTAGCAAGACCAGAATTAAAATTTCCTCCATATCTCCCAGCCCTTGGTGATGAACAACTTCATAAATTATATATATGAAGGGGAGATTTTAGTAAAGATTATTTTCCAAAGGAATAGAGAACATCTTTCACGCAACAAGAAAAAAATTTTATGATAGCTTAAAAAAAAATAACATGATGAAATTTATATTCTTTACTCATCTGGAATATGTTTACCTGGCAATCTCAAATATTGGAAACTCAGGCAAAAATCTGATCAACAGAATGAATATCTCTGAGTACAAGAAACTAACTCATAAGAAAGAGCATCAATTTAATTTTATATATAATTTTGGCAAACTTATTTGGTTTCTTAATCTGCAGGCAATTTCAAGTAGCAGGAGATCTGAAATAGCAAAGTAGAATTTCTGGAGGAATGGGGACTACTAATCTGACACCATTAGAGGCAGAATTATTAGACAAAGAAAAGTAGTGATAAGAACTCTTAGAGCCCCAAATTCTTTTAGCATAGGGGCAAATAACTGTACAAATCTTGATAGATCATTGTATTACAGTACATCGAAGCCATTGATGTTCATTAACATCACCTTAAATAGGCTTAGGGGGAAGGTAGAGGGAAAAATAGAATCTATCTTAAAATGTTTTTCTTTCCGCTAAATAAGAGTACCAAGGCTTAAAGGAAGCCCATTTCTAGATCATACCAAATACTTAGGCTATCAGATCTGTGGATGAGTCATGACAGAGTAGGTGCTAAAAAAATTGAGATTTCGCACTCAAGTAAATGTGATGTCCTTCCAACTACTTATCTTGGGATCCAATACCTTTATCTCAAACAATGCTGTCACTGGACCAAACATCTCTAAAATATTTCCTTAGAAATAATCTTTAAAGCATTTTTTTAATCATCAAGGTAAAAAAAAATCTGTCTTTTGGATAAATTTTAATTTGTTGTTTTTTTTATTTTGGATAAAGTCAAGTGGCATTTGAAGACAAGCCTGGTGAATATGACAGATAATTACTTGGAGATTAATGTTGTGTCTGAAAGCATGTCCATGTAGCAGTGAGACTGTTGCTGTTTTTAATTTGGCTCAAAATGTCTCAGAAGAAATTATCAGAAAGGTTCTAAAATTATTTTGAGTAATGGTTAATTACTGAGATAAATATTTATCGCCAAAGGAAAAACATCCATCTGTATGTATAAGTGAGGATTTATAAGTATACATACATAGTATTTATATTATTTTGTAACATGGTCATATGGTATAAAACAGTCACATGGTCTAAAACTTATTAATAGCTATCCATTATCAGATGTGTTGAGGCTACATGTAGCTAAAACAAATTTTCAGCATAATTGCCTTCTAATCACAAAGACTAATCATCATAAAAAATTAAATTGCTAACACTGAATGCTCACCCGGGGTCAGGCACCGTGATTACCACTTACCTGTACAGTTGCATTTAACAATATTAACTCAAGGTTGTCAGGAGGATTAACAAGTGAAAAAATATGTGTCCCGGGTTTTAGCATAATGCCTGGTTCATGGCAAACATTTAACAAATTAGCTATTTGTTTTTAGGATCCTCATAGGAAAATTTAAGCTTAAAAAAGTCATTTTTCCCAGATTCACATATCTGTGGAATGCCACCATTTACCTGTCAGCCACTGCTCTTTTCTGCCTCTGTCCGTGGTTGGCTAAGGGTATGGATACCTTGGCAGAGCATTCATCACCGAAGCACCAGTCACCACCTAGTCATCTAAATACAGGCACTCACGGGTGTTTGGTAAATAATTACCTGAAACTCTCTAACCATCTTCTGAAGCTGAACCATCAGGCCTTTCTCATGCTCCACCTTTGGGTTCATCTGACTCATTTCCAATTCCTTCCTGTTTGGAAAAAGGTACCAAGTGGAATTGTTCAGAGTAATAATGTTTTGTTTAAATAGTTTTAGAATTATAATAACATAGGAATTCATTCTCATTGTAAAAATTCAACTATTACATCTACATCTGAAGTCTTGGCTATTATATTCAATCTCTGTTCCTTCCCTAGAGGTAAACACCATTATCAGTTCCGTGTGAATCCACCCAAACATTTTTTTTTAAGTACTGACATATATTTGTGTTTATATATCAGTAGAAATAGTTTCTTTTTTTTTTTTTTTACTGTAACCGATATAATATTGCATACATTTGTATTTATAGTTCTATAACTTATTTTAACCCAATAATACTTTGGAGATTTTCCATGTTGGCCCACACATAGATTGCTTCATNATTTGTATTTATAGTTCTATAACTTATTTTAACCCAATAATACTTTGGAGATTTTCCATGTTGGGCCACACATAGATTACTTCATTTAAAAATTAACTGTGATATACTAGCCCATGATTTAGACAACCATTTATTTATCCATTTCCCTATTAATAAGCACTTAGGTTTTCCCAATATTTTGCTTTTATAAATAACACTGTTCATATACATGCCCAGTGTGTACAAGTACATGTTTCTATAGAGTGGATACGAGCAGAGAATTGCTGGGTCAGGTACAGATATGTGCTTAAAAATATACAACCCTGCCCTTTGACCTCCAACAGCAGTGTGAGATTATTATTTCTCTACATTTATGTTTCATACTAGCATGCTTCTAAATTTTCTAATCTGACAGAATAGATTACCATGACATTGTTTTATCTCGAATGTTCTTGTTTATTAGTGATGACAGCCTCTTGTCAACTACGAGGATTTAAAAATGACCAATAAACCAAACGAACTGCCTGCTTGTATCCTTTACCCATTTTTCCACTAGGTTGCTTATGTAATTATTAAAATATAGACTTCTTTTAACATTCTCAGTATTTATTTTTTGATATCTGTTGCAAACATTTTTCCCACTTATAATTTGTCACAGTTTTATTTTTGTTGGCTTTTGCCACATAAATGTTTAAAAATTTGATGTAGTGAAATTTATTAAGATATTCCTTTTATGTCTTTTTGTGACTTATTCAAGATTTGACCTGCCAATTTCCTAAGACTTATCACCTATATGTTGCCTTTAATGGTTTATGTTGTTTTTATTGCTGTAAGAACATTTAACATGAGATCTTCCCTCTTAACAAATATTTAAGTGCACAATATTATTAACTGTAGTCACAAAGTTGTACACAGATCTCTAGAACTTAATCATCTTGCATCACTGAAACTTTATACCCACTGACTAGCAACTTCACTTTCTCCACTCCCTCCTACCCCTGGCAACCACCACTCTACTGTTTCTATGAGTTTGACTATTTTAGATGCCTCATAAAAGTGGAATCATGCAGTATTTGTCTTTCTGTGACTGTCTCATTTTACCTAGCATAATGTCTTCCAGGTTTGTCCATGTTATAGCATATGGGAAGATTTCCTTCTTTTCAAAGGCTGAGAAATATTTCATTATATGTGTACACAACATTTTCTTTATGCATTCATCCCTCAGTGGGCATTTAGGTTGTTTCCATATCTCAGTTATTGTGAATAGTGCTTCACCTTTTAATGGTCTTATAGTTTTATTTTTACATTAATTCCTGAATGCAACTGAATTTTGTGTATGTGAATAATGTGAGGTAGAAAATTAACTTTTACTCAGAAAATGAATAGCTAATAATCTCTGTACCATTTATTAAGTAGTCTATCTTGTCATCAATATTTTGAAATGCCATCTTTATCATGTACTAAGCTTCCATATATAGTTTCATTTACAGAAAAGGTTTTATAATAAAGTTATAACTTCCCACAGACATGGATTTCTAAAATGCCAGAGCTCTTTGACCTGTAAGAACATGGATTATCATTTTCACTTTGCTGAGCTTAGACACAATCTTCTAAATTAAAGGCTAAGAAAACTCTATCATCATTTTGCCTTTCATTGTCCCATTACATTCATAAGGTTACTTATTTCACTTTTTCCAAACACTTATCAAGTTCAATAACTTATTAGTAGAATATTAATCATGCCTGACCACAGGCACGTCTAATGGAAATTCATGTCCACAAACAGGAAAACCAGAATCACAGCTGCTCGGCTGACTCTCTTCTTTTTCACTGTGGGTCCTAATTACCAGCATGCTCCCAGCTTTAACCTGGCATCTTACTCTTGTAACTCAGTTTCCCCTCTCATCTGATATATTCCAAATAAAATTGAAAATCTCTAATGATTAAAAGAAAGTCTTGCTAAACAGAGAAAGACAAAAGGCACAAGATGAGAAAATCCATTTCACTGAACTGTGAAACTCAACTGGGAGGGCAGTGTTGCCCTCAGTTCCTTGGGCATCCATGTGAACTGAGGTGCCACTAATTTTAATTGTGTTATGTTTTGCTTTAGATTTTTAAGGTTTAATGTTAATATCATAAAAAGTAGCTATATAAATATTAGAGTATATCTGACAAACAAGTTTGTGGGGTTTTTTTAACTAATCAGAGAATATATAGGACTTCACATTAGGGTCATTTTCAAATTTTGATTTAGTTTTACTTTTATGCCATTGGTCTCATCATAAATAAAAGAAGTGAGTCATTTTTATTTTTGACTTGTAGCCTCAAATTCCAATGAATCACATTTCCTAAGCTTTATTTATTTCCTAACCTTTCATTCACATCTGCTAGTCAGATGCCTTCTCAGTTATATTCTTCTAGATTATACACTCACTCTCTTTTTACAACTATATAATAAAGTCCGGGGGGGGGAATCCATTTCCTAGGCTTGTTATCCTCCCCTTCAGGTTTTGAGAGATCTGGCCCAGGAGTCATGAGGATAAATGAAATGCTAAGGCTGTTCCTTCCAATATGAGGTCTTCCAGAATCTCCTGTCAACACAAAGGTGGCTTACCCCCTCAGCTTCTCTGCCAGCTGCAGCTGGCTGCTCTCCAGGTGCACCACTCTCTCCTGGTTCAGCTTTAAATCACCATTCAGTTTGTGCTTTTCCCTTTCGCAGTTCATTCTCACTTTTCTCTCCTGCTCAATGGCATCCTCGGGCTGACAAAAGAAGATAATTATTTAGCTAAAAAAAATAGGTAAAGTTTATACTTCACTAGATGTGTTCATTAATTACCTTCTGGAAAAATAAAAATAAAAATAGGAGCACAGATTCTGTAAATGATGCCCAACTATGTAGATATTTTATTATTTTTTTTAATTTTTATTGATTTTAAAAGAGAGAGGGAAAGGGAGAGAGAGAGGAACATCAATTTGTTGTTCCGCTGCTTTATGCATTCATTGATTGCTTCTTGTATGTGCCCTGATTGAGGATGGAACCTGCAATCAGGATGACACTCTAACTAACTGAGCTACCCGGCCAGGGCTGTTATGTAGATATTTTAAAATAAATATTGCATGCATCAATAAGATGACAAAAGAATCTAGCAATCACAGTGATGGAAGAGAACTTTGGAGATTAAGGAATACACATTCTATCCTAAGTACGGAACCAATAATAAATGGCTAGCGATGCCTTGTTTGACCGTTTTCCGGAGATGGGAAGCTCACTTCTTCATATGGCAGCTCATTTCACAGGTGGATAAATCCATTTACTTGGGAGCGCTTCTTCATGAGAAGCCAAGATATTCTCTGTAAATTCTTCCCACAAGGCTAAATTTCATCCCTGGAGCAATATCAAGCAAATCTGTCTCCACCACTGTCCTGTCTCCCAACTCAGTACTGACCATTTCAAACACGTCTCGCATAGCATGATTTGTATACTTCCTTCACCCCGTGGGTACCCTCTTCCAGTCCAGAACATTATGTCATAAAAGTGCTGAGAACATTCTAGTTTTGTCTGAATTGATGTTGCCAACAATGAAATCGAGGTTAGTTTAACAGGAACGATAACAGTTACAATATAGCTATTTTTTTCATTGGTATGTTTATTTTTTAATAATGGAAGTAAAGAGCCAAAATATGAAATTTAAATGGGTAGAGGAGGGAGAATTTCTGGAAGTTGTATGTAAAAAACTGAAAGTAGATGAACCCCAGGAGAGAACAAGTGTGTGACTCCAATAAAGAGTAGTCTTGAGGTTTTGTGAGGTACACAATCAGTGGACATAGGAAGAGAAGTGAGACAACTATAGGTAACAGAGGAAACTGATAGAGAGTTCGAAGAAAAAACAGATAAAATCATCATCATCATCATCATCTACTCTGTCAACAATTTTATAAAGCCTAAGTTTGGGGACTAATAAGAAAGTGAATGCATACACTGTGTCAGCTGGGGAGGGGGAAGGAACAACATGAAGCTATCCATTGAGGCTGGACCGAAATAACTCGCTATCACAGTGTGTTTGGAGGCAGAACAGAGCACCATCTCTGGAATCTTACACCTACTTTCCAATAATGCATGTAGAACACAGCGTGTGACTTACATCTCTTTCAACTAGAAATAAACCTCAGGTCCCACTGGAGACATAATAGGGCCTTTAAACCAATCCTTCAACACTAGTGTCAGATGGAGAGAGTACCAGCCTATCTGTGGCGCAAAATGCCAGGTTCTGTGGGAAACAGTCAGTCACTTAGTGGGATAACACTATGATTCATCCCAATGTTCTCTTCTCAGACTGCCCAGGGATGTGTGAAATTTGCATTTAAAAACTGACAGATTACACGCTGGGGCTTCTCTATACTGTAGTGGTTCAATGTACATTAAGGAAAAAAATCACTATTTCTAATCATGAGGGTAACAAATCATGTTACTAAGTTTTCCTGAAACTGTCAAGATAAATTAACTAAATAAAAAGTGGAGATTTGTGTGTGTGTGTGTGTGTATATATATATATATATATACATATATATATATAGACAGATGGCTAACCAGCTAGACACATCACTTCTTACCTCATCTACTTGCTGTTCCAGCTTCAACTTGGCTTTGCTCAGGTTGCTGAGTTTCTCCTCCTCTGGGTGCGGGTCATCTGGGGTCTGCTGATGGGCCTCCTGCACAACCCTGGCTGCTCTGCTAAGCTTGCTGATATCTTCATTTAGAGACTCCACTTCCTCACTCAAGCTCTTGACCTGTGGGAAGAAGACAACAACAGTTTCATTAGAGCTCCCGCTGGAAGGTTGGGCGTAACAGTAAGAGCCACATTCTCTCCTTTTCTAGTACAAAACAAAATCTCACAAACTACCCACCATCATAAAGAACCAAATCTAACCAAATTCCACATACACTTTTAAAAACTCTGAATTCACTATTTCTCCCCCCACACAAAATGATGTTACCTATCATGGTCAAGGAATGGGGTATTTTGGTTAATCAAATATTTATCAATACAGCTCAATGGGTGGCCAGTTTTTAGTGTGTCATATTATTGTATAACAAGAACACCATTATGGCAGGGCCTTCTTTTGAGTATACAGGGGGCACATGTTAATCTTGTTGCATCTCGATACCCCATAAAAGTGGTGGTTAAAAAAGAGGTCAAGCTGATAAAATGAGCAAACATGGAAGCTGGCTATCTCAGGCCCACATGTTTTTTAGGAAAGTGAACCAGTGGCATGAGAGTTGCTATTTAATCATCTGCCAAAATTACAGTGTCATTCTGGAGTCTAGCTATTTATCAGAAGTTTGAGGCAGACTCTTCAGCTAACTTTAATCCGTACACAGATGTGCAAGTTAAAACCCTCAGCTGAAAAGAACAAAACAGCAAAGTCCTTTAACTGGAATCAAAGTGACATCTCCAAGGTCAAACTCCAAATCAATGATGGGGCTGGAGATTCACCTACATCCCAAATCGCCTTTCAGTAAAGTGTATCATGCTCACTCTCCTTCCAAAATAGGACACATCCAGGCACCATGAAACCATTTTGCTCTTTCTATGAGATTTCACATGCAATAAGATTAGAGCAAATGAAGGTTTCATTGGGGAGATTTGGTGGAGTTGCACAAATCAAGTTGGAAATTTGAATTGGGACAGCACAGTTGATCAGACCCTTCATTTTAGGCCATTTCTGACTCCCAGTGTTGTAAAGTTTGCAACCACCATGTTAGTTCATTTAAACAGCAAGCCTGGTACCAAAACCTGCTGGGGAGGGGCACTCAGAAACGTAGGCCTCCTAACATTATAGAAAAAGGACCTTGTGCTCTGTAGCACACTTCTCCTTCTGTGACTTCACCGATATTGTTTCCAGGTCATCGATTTCTTTCTTCAACTCGGAACATTCATCTTCAAGTTTCCACCCCCTGGCACAGTTGGCTCAGAATTTATCTCTTCTTCCTCCATCCGTGCAGACAGTGCCTTGACTCTGGCCTCCAGCTGGATCTTGGATTTAATCAGCAGCTCGAACTGCTCTTCAACAGTTGCCAGGGTCTCTTGCTCCTGCCATGAGGAGAAAATTGTTGCCAACAGCTGGAAGTAATTTATCAGCCAGGCAAAAATGCTGCTTAACACCAGCGAAGGGATAATTGCCTGCCCTCTGCCTGGCACTTTCACCTACCTTCTTTCCTAAGCAGCTGAAATAATATTCCCGGTTTCCCTGATCCTATTGTTGAGATGTAGAAGAGTTGCTTGTGTTTGGAGGTGCTTTCGATCTTTCAGGCCATTCAGTAGATTAGATTACCTCTTCTAAAGCACTTAATAGAATCCTGGTGGCCTGAAGGAGCTAACAGCCTCCAGAAATCAGGGGTGTACTGCTTAAATCACAGCTTCTGGAAGCATCCACTGGGCATAGGGTTTGAGGTTGATACCTGCCCAGAATACAGTCTTTGAAGAAGTGTTCCCTCAGACAGTAGAATATTTATAATATTATTATAAGCCCCCACATATACTTGTTTAATATATATAGGTGTCTTCTAATAAAGAGAGCTGAGCTGTAGATTTATTCATAGGCTGAATTCAGAATTCATAGGATTACTAGCAAGTCACTAACTAGATTTCACTATTTCCATCCAAAATCTTTTTCTCAGGGATTCTGCCAGCAGTAAATTCCAAAAGTTATACACATAAAGCATAAAATATTCTTTCCTTTTATTCCTTCAAATGTACTCTCCGACTCTGAGTGACCCCATTGTTCCAGTNATTCCTTCAAATGTACTCTGAGTGACCCCATTGTTCCAGCGTTATGGGTCAGGTAGAAAATGAAGGAGCCAATTGTTTTTCGCTACAAAAGCACCTTTTAAAACTTTGAGCCTCTCTAATTTGTCTCCATTAGAGGCTAACTAAAACCTCCCCTTTGTGAGCAAGTTCTTAATTACTGTAGGTCTGGTTGCAACATAACTTTACACACATCTCCATCTTCCATCTCTAGACCTTATTCACTCTCTGCAGTAGGCTAGTTTGGGCCATTTATTAACTATGTATCTATTTGTCTGGCTGAAGTTAGGGTTAGATCAAGGGCAGCAAAAGGCAAAAATTCAGACTATTGGTTTCTGGCTAACTCCTGGCAAAGAATGGCCCAACAAATGGGGCTCAAAGAAGCACAGCTGGGGGTGTACAGAGTAGTAAATCTCCAACATCACTTTATTGTTTTAAGGACTAAATTAAAAACAAACAATAACATCAAAGCAAGAAGCCTTCATGCAAATCAGAGAATCTCCCAGTGTTTTGGAGTAATGGGGACAACTGAGCTTCACTCACTCCAGGGTAACAAGCAGGACAGCTGTTCGCTCTCCCATGCAGCATGTGTACAGGACCTGTCCCCATCACCGAGTGAAGGGGAAAGTCCAATGTACCATCATCCATCCCTTCATCATACATGACGGCAGGACTTGGGGGCCAGCTGAGCAATGAGGTGGCAGCTGAACAGGAGAAATATCCTGTCCCCAATGGCAGTTATTTTCTCATGTACTCACAGTGTTAATTGTAATGGGTTCTGCGTTCTGCTGGTACTTTGAGTAAGTGAATGATTTTAAGACTTCTTGTTTCCTTGATCCCTACTATATTTTGTCCCTTAAAAATAAATGATGATAAAATATTTCATAGCTCTGTCAACATTTTTAATCAGTTACAACCTGAACTCATCTCACACTTTCTGCGTTTGCTGTAGAATTGGCTTCTATGTGTTTCCGTGGTCACCACAATGATCTTTTATCATGTATCCCTGGCTTTGACCCCCCCAAAAGTTGGATCCATTCTATTTCCCATGTCAGCCCAGGTAGCACTGGCCACGCTCTCTGTCAATAGGAAGAATGATGAGGACTGGGAAGCCAGGTCTCATCCAAAGCTGCCTCTCCCCTAAGCCAGACAACATAAGACANCAATAACATCAAAGCAAGAAGCCTTCATGCAAATCAGAGAATCTCCCAGTGTTTTGGAGTAATGGGGACAACTGAGCTTCACTCACTCCAGGGTAACAAGCAGGACAGCTGTTCGCTCTCCCATGCAGCATGTGTACAGGACCTGTCCCCATCACCGAGTGAAGGGGAAAGTCCAATGTACCATCATCCATCCCTTCATCATACATGACGGCAGGACTTGGGGGCCAGCTGAGCAATGAGGTGGCAGCTGAACAGGAGAAATATCCTATATATTCTATATAGTCTAACATTCTAGAAAAGTCGTTATGTTAAATATGTATCAGAAGTATGGTGTGGGTGTAAATTATTATGCAAAACATGGCCTACTGGAACACTGATGGGTAGCACAGACCCAAAGTAAAAGAATAGCTTGGGTCGGTCTAAAATTACTAAATTTTCTCTGTTTTCAGTACATTCAGCAAACAGAAAAAAACTGTTTTATCCACATAATTATATTTGAGCCCAGTATTTTTTAATTGAGCACTGTTCTGCCTGGGGTGAAGAATATAATAAAGGCAGATGCAATCCCATCTCTGCCTTGGATGTTTGGGGATAACTGCAGTCCCAGTGGCTAGAGAGGGGGCCTGAGAAAGGTAGTAATGGCACACTGGCATTAGGTTGGAGACGGAGGCTCAGACGCCAGGGCCATGGGTTAGGAGTCTATGATGCACATGTTGCGGGATCTGAAGCTCGCTCATCCGAGAAGCAACATCTTGTCTGTTTAAGACACTGGTTCTCCATCCTCACTGACTATCAGAATCACTCATTCTGATTATTTAGACCCACACAGGGCCTGCTAATCAAAATATCTGAGAGTGGGTCTAGGCATCTTTCTTTTTATTTTAAGGCTTCACAAGTGATTCTGATGTAAATCCAAAGTTGAAAACAGCTGTTTCTAAGAACTACACTGATTAGTAATGTTGATCTGGACTAGGGAAAGGGGAAGCAGGGATCAAAATCAGGAAAAACAACTAGGTGCATACTACACTAAACCTGAAGATCTCTGAGAATCCTGTGCTTTCATTTGTTAATGAGCCATGATCTAGATAAAGAATTTAAATTAAAACCCAGAGCTTCCTGGCTGGCTCCCATGATAGATTGTGGTGCTTTTATATAGTTAAAACCCATCTAAGAGTTTGTCTCTTTTTCAAAGACATCCTGCCAATAAAATCACTTCTCTATTGAAACAGAGTGTCTCTTTAAGTGTTTCCATTGTCTGTGCTTGATGAAACTCTATAGTATTTGAAAAGCACATGCCTCTGTTTTTTTCAAGTCAGTGCTGCCTGCAAAACAGGGAATCTAATTAAAAACTTGATTTGAAGAACAAATGGTGGGGCCACTCACAGCCTGCAGCTGGAGAAGCAGGTCATTCTTTTCCAGAGTAAGGAATACTTGCTTTGCTTTCAGGTCCGCCCTCTGAGATTCTGGCTTCTCCAAGGCTCTTTGCAGTTGCACACTCTCTTCCTTCAGTCCAGCTACCTCCTTTCCCATCCCGGCAGATTTACTAAGAGGTATGATCGTGAAGAAGAGCCTCATCCAGGGCCTGTCCTTCACAGTCATGAAAGCTCTTACGTTCCACTGTATCAAAAGAAATGCATCCCTAAATCAAGGAGAAAAAAGAAAAGCAAGTTAACCCAGACTATAAGAGAGTTGTTTTCTAAATTAAAATTCTTAATAAGCACATCTTTTTAGGAGTCATTATAAATTCTCATTCATCTTCAAAGCTCTTCTGCATCTGGGCTCTCATCTGATTCAGGCAAAGCCCTCTGAGGACTTCCGGGGCTGGCAATATTGTTTGCCAGACATCCTGAGAATGCTCCCACCACAAACAGCCTTTAAATGACAGCTGAGCCTGAAAACAAGTGAAAAATAAAGAGGGAGCTAAACACCTGAGCAATAAATGTGTGCATATACAACTTGGCCATCCTCGTGGGAAAAGGGAGCCAGTCTTAGTATTGGAAGGGTTTGTAGTATCCACACGGATAAAGAGACAAGCTGAGACCTTCAAAGAATATCACCCTTAATGAAAAGAAAGACTAAAAGTTCACCATTGGCACAGAGAAATGTCAAAAAGAAGTACATCTGATTTGGTCTGAGCTCAGGGTGAAGAAAAAAAATCCTACTCTAAGAATTTTTTTTTAAATTATGGACCAGTGCCACTGAAATGTTTGAGATTTAAATTATACTACCTGATTGGTGTAGAAATATGCAAGAAATTACCACGATCATTTTCTTTACACTAGTAATAAATACCCTTTTGACCTTTGGGGAGGAAAATGCAAAATTGTACTGAAGAAAACACCCTAATATCAAGCATCAGAGATTCTCTTAGATAAAGCCCCCTGAAGATAAGCTTACCATTCAAAATTACAAAATACTTAAAAAAAAATAAAAATAAAAAATCAACCATCAGTGAGGGTAAGCACTTACAATAAAAATTTTGATTAAACTCCCAAGAATTTCAGATGATTGAACAATCTTGTGGATACTATAAAATAGATGTTATAATTATTAAAGACATAAAGGAAATAACTGAAAAACAAGAAAGAAATGAGCCACTATGATAAAAGGGCAGACAGATTTGAAAGTGAACTAAAATATCTAAAACTAAAAAGTATAATCATTGAAATCAAATACTCAATGGAAGAATTAAGCAGCTGTTGAGACCACAAATGGGAATTAAGAATAAACCCAAAAAAGGTGGAAGGAAAGAATAAAGATGAGATCAGAAACTAATGAACTAGAAAGCAAAAAAAAAAAATAAAGAAAATAGGCTAAATAAACATCTGACATGAATGATCAAGAAAAAGAGGAGAAGGAACACGTGAATGATAGTAGGAAGTGTGATATTCTAGAAATGTAATAATCTAGGAATGTGCTCTAGAAACAATCATAGATATGGTAGAAATTTAGAAACAATCTAGCTAATTGGGAAATTAAAAGAAATGTAAAATTTCTATTTTATAAAAAAAACACATACACATATCTAAACTGATTCAAGAAGAAAGAAATCTCAACAGGCCTATAAATATTAAATAAATTGAATCACAATTGTAAAATATGTCACAAAAGAAATACCAGATTTAGATGGTTTGATAGACAAATTTTACCAAACATTCAAAGGATAGGTAATTACAATAAATTGTTCATGCTTTGAAAAGATGAAACATTCCTCAACTCTTTTATTAGGTCCAGGTAACCTGATACAAAGTCAGATGACACAGCAGAAAAAAAGAAAATTATAGGAGAAATTTTTCATGAACATCAATGCAAAAATCCTCATGATAATACTATTCGTGTATGAAAATGATAGTATTTCATAAACAAAGTAGGTTTAGCATTTTTTAAAATGTTATTATAATTCAATACATTCGTAGGTGAATGAAAAAAACCTTGTGATTATTTCAGGAAAAGAATTTAACCATTTTCTTAGTAAAAATGCTTCACAAAAGACGAAAGGAATGTCCTCCACACAATATACCATACCTACAAAAAAAACAAAACACACACACAACTACAGAAAATATCATCTTAGGGAAATAATAGCTATCCCCAAAGTCAGAAATATGACAAAGTTTGGCAAAAGTTTTTGAAGTCTGAAATACCCCAAGTTGGTGAGAGTATAGAACACTGAGACTTTCATACACTTCTGGTGAAGAGTAAGTTGAAAAGCATTTTGGCAATATCTCATAAAATGGAACTGTGTAGAACCTAAAACCTAATAATTAATATCCTGGAGAAATGCCACTCAAAGTGTGGGCCTCAGCCAGTGGCTATCCACAAACTATCAGCATGACCAGCATTTTCAGTAAGAGTATCCTCAAGAAACTACTGCATATGTCAAGGGAGGGGGATATTTACAAATATGTCACTGCAGAACTGTTTGTAATAGCAAAAAACCATTAATAAGTTAAATTTTCTTGAACTAAAAAATGGATAAATTGTGGTATATTTATGTAATAGAATACAACACAGTAGTTAAAATCAATAATCTAGCACTATATTTATTAGCATCAGTGAAATTCAAAACTAGTACTGAATTTAAAGAGCAAATTTCAGGATAATACATATAAAATGTTATTATGTGAAAACTAAAAGCAAAAAAATCATGTCACCTTTTAAAGATATCTACATATCTACATATCTTCATATCTTTAAAAACTTGGATCCAGAGAGAAATATACAAGGGGCTTTACCTTTGTTAATTAATTTATTTTTAAAGTTGTGAGCAATTAGAGGAAAAAAAAATGTTAACAATTGATATACTTTGGTGATAGCTCCATATTACAATAATTTCAGTGTGTTTGAAATATTTCGCAATAATTTTTAAAAAGTCATCCTATGATTTAGAAAGAATGCATAGTAAAGACCTTAGAGACAAAGAAAGTGAACCATGGAGAAATTAAGAGTATTACTCAAGTTCATACAACTGAGCCTAGAAGCCATGACCCCTGATTCCCAAATTCCCATGAACTTCCATACCACACTGAGACTATATGACGGTCACAGAAGACTTTAGGAGCTCTAGCTCTAATATCTCTGACATCACCATGTAATGATTTTTTTCTTCTTTGGGTTAACAGAAGGAATTAACAGATTGTTAATTAAGCAAGTTATACCAAGGCCTGTGGACCTCTCTCCAGAAGATAAACTATGCTACAGAAAAAATGCAACAACCGCAGAATCCCTTGCTCACAGTCCCATTATTTGAAGATTTTGCTAGATTTCCCTCCATGAGTCCATTAAAGAATAGACAAAACCTACACCTAAGTGTCCAAATGTGGTGATAAATGCCCCTGCCTGAAATGAAGTAAGAGAGTTATGATTACATGTCACCAAGAGGCACAGTTTCTGACCCAGGGGAGGTTGTAAATTGGTCAGAACACCTCCCCACTTGATGGAAAACTTCCCCACAGAGATGTCTGTGGGATGCACAAAAACCCTTCCAGGTCTGCTTCTGTCATGAAATGTGAGTCATACCACCCTCAGAGATCCATATTTCTCTAACTATAAGAAATCCCTCCTAATGGAAGGCTACAAGCAAAAAATACCTGAATTATTCTTATACTTGGTTTGATAAGGCAATGAAAGACCTTTGTGTTCTGTCTGTTTGGTGTTCCATGATTTTAAAATTTTTTCTTTAATATGTTTTTACTGATTTCAGAGAGAGGAAAGGAGAGGGAGGGAGAGAAACATCAATGATGAGGGAGAATCATTGATCAGCTGCCTCCTGCATGACCCCTACTGAGGATCGAGCCTACAACCCGGACATGTGCCCTGACTGGGAATCAAACCATGATCTCCTGGTTCATGGGTCAATGCTCAACCATTGAGCCACTCTGGCCCGGCTGATTTTAAAACTTTTAAGTTAAGTCTGAGCCTAAGAAGAGGAGGCAGATCTTTACTTGACCTATTTATAAGGCACTGAGATAAGATCACATTGACTGAGGAACACCATTACCCTAGCAGCTTAGATACAGGGAAGGGATAGGATAGCATACCTCTCTTCCAGGGTCCTCTGGAATTTGATTCGCATCAATGTGCCCCGTACTCTGGCTTGGAACAATGTGAGGGCTTTAGAGAATCTTGCATCTTTCATTGCTTCCAGTCAGCCCAGAAAGCCAGTTTATAAAAACACCTGAAAGAAATGAGTTAGATGTTAGTTCCACTCAGTGGTATTCAGGAAATGTCTGTTGAATTAGCCTATGAGCAATTGATGTATTAATTTATCAGTTCTATTTCTTGTTACCTTTTATTTAATATCTAAAATGTATGTTTTAGAAAGTTTGTTTTTATAAATATTAAGTTTTCAAAAACTATTTTATTTAATCCTTTGGTTATATGGGTTCCTTAAGAACTGAAACTACGCTCCCCCTTATCTATTAATGATGTCTAGGTTATCCAGGAAACTTGGTTTAAGTTTTAATATAGGCCCAGGCAGGCAGTTCTCTAAAGTGCCAGGCAGGGTTCTGCAAACTATTTTTGCAAATGGCCACATAGTAAGTATTTTTAGGCTTTGTGGTCCATTTAGAGTCTCTGTAGAATATTCTTCTTTTTAAAACCCCCCTTTAAAAATATAAAACCTTTTTTAGCAAGTGGGTCATATAAAAAAATTAGGTCACAGAGATGGCCCTTAGTCCATAGTTTGCTGACCCTTGCTCTAGAGAAAGGTACTTTTGTCTTAGGCATTAAAGAATTCACATAAAATTTTCTTGAGAATCATTAGTAATGGCCAAGACAAGGTGAGTGAAGTACCTAATGCAGAAATTTTAAGGAGGCTGTGACTTTCAGAGTTGTACAAGACAGCACTTGCATAAACCTAAGAGTGAGCTCCTCAAATGTTGTGCCCTAGGAGACTCACACACCTCATGCTAGATATGTAGTATACAGCAAAAATAACTGAACACATAAAAGAAGCAAGGCACCAGTAATGAAAATCAGCAGAAACAACAAACAGCAAAACCAGAGGCTCAGGTACTGAAAATGTGGGAATCAAGTAACATTTTACAATTATGTCCTACAGAGTTCTTTTCCTATGAGCTCTTCAACCTAGACCCTCCAATTCTCCTTTAAACAACATGGTCTGTATATGGATATCATTAGGAACATGATGTTGACTGTCAGATAAAACCAAACCTATTAAGCAGAAGTTTACCAAAATATGTGGATCCTGCCCAGATCATCTAAGATAAAGCAGAATTTAGTGAATCACATTTAATGAAATTAACTTTGAATTAATTTTTTTGGATAGTGGGGTTGACCTCGAAGTTTTTAATTACTCAGATAGTCTTCTAGAATTAATTCCCTAAAAACAGTACTTATGGATTAATCAATTCAAACACAAACAAGCAGTTAACCACGGTAAGTTGATTCACCTTTTTCTAGCTCCTGATATGTATACATATTTTTTGGCAGACTAAGGTTGATTCAGTATTTTATATCTCGGCACAAACTTGCTCGGATCAATAATTATAAAAATATGAATGTAGTCAAGACTGAGGTTTAAGGAGCATTACATTTTCTCTCTCAAATAGCACAGAAGTTTCCACTTTCTACTGTGCTCTATTTGTATTATTTGTGGTCGGAAGAGCTATAGAATGCCTTATAATTGAACTTTCATGGGTATTTTAAGATACACATTCTTTCCTCCCACTCTTCTCCAAATGCATTCTTTTTAGTGTTCTGGTTACCTTGGTGATCCCCAAGCGGTACTGGGTATGGTCTATCTTCAGGGAGCCAAGTAATTCTTCAGCTGCTTTTCTGCTGCTCATAAACTTGGTCTTTGGAAAGACCTTTGGATTCAGAATGCAGTACCTAATTTAAAATAGGTAAAGAATAAATTCTGGGGTCAGAGGTCATATGATTCAAATAAAGTAAGGTGGAAAGAAGTACAGATTTCTATCTTCTACCAACATGTTCAGTTTTTACGAAACTCCTGGCAGTAGTAATGAGGGTAAAAGCAATAATCCCTCACTTTGGTATATATAATAGTTTGTGCTTTTCATAGTATTTTAGAGGCAACCTCATTTGACTCTCTGCTCAATTAGAGAAGGAAGGAGAAGTTGGGAGGGGAAAGAGAGAGGCAGGTTTACGTGTCTCTGTTGTACAGATAAGAAAAATGAAAAGCAGAGACAATAAATTCCAAGATTCCTTCACCCTAATGGTACGTTGGTGGAGAACCAGAAACACGCCTTTTAATTCTGAGACGGGTACTCTGTCTACGCTATCAGACTTTGCTCAAATTTGCTTGATGACCTATAATTTACTCCTTTAGAATTTGGGAAACAGAAAGCAAAGATACCTCTCCTGCCTCCTGCCACACACTCTACTGGCTTCCTTCCTTTCGCACGTTTGCTAGTGAAGCAACAGCCTGCTTGGATGGCAGCTAGGATTAAGTATATACAACATTTCAGAGATTCAATTCAGCCTCCATATCTTTCTTCTGTATATATTTCTTTTATATGTGGGTCTATTATCCGTTAATAGAGATATAAGGATATTACAGCTACATGGATGTTGGATTTAGGAGGAAATAATAATGGAACTCTGTCATCATATATCTCACCACCACCAAAACACATTGATCTGTAGTCTGGAGGACATCAACCAAACAAACAATGCATACCTAAACACTCAGAAAGAAAGGTAAACAGGATAAACTGCCTCAGGCTTCTTGGATCCTGGGATGTACATTTACCTTTGTTTAAAATCAGCATACAGCATTCAGTTTGGAAAACCTTCACAGTATATCCTAGTCCCTTCCAAGACACCATTACAGAGCAGCTGCTGTAGACCTAAGTAAGGGTCCATTATACCTGGGGAAAGAGGAGTCGAGTTGAGTCTGTGTCTAAAAAAATTATTACCCTAGATTTTATCCCAATGGCTGCATCTTAGGTTTCGAGAGTTTGAATCTGCTGTTCTCTGTCTGATAGGTAATAAGTAGTTCACCCACTCCCAGCCAGTGCTCATCCTATTATGTGAGAGTCTCCAAATTGGATTTACCTGAAATTCCTTTAACATGGAATGAATCCTGCAGTTTGTTGTTAGTCAAGATTTTATAAGCAAATACTCCTGGAAGATG